TAGAGCCCTCGGTGCTGTAGCCATGGGCTGCGTGTGGGGACGGTGCCTGCTCTGCTGCCCAGCTGTCCCAGGATTGCTTAGGATCCCCTCAGCCTCCTGCATCGCCTTTAGGCAGCTACCTGCGTTGCCTACACCTGAAGCTGACCTCGGTGAAATGGCAACAGGGAGCCGCCGTGAGCAGCTTCTGTTGGGCTGAGGGCCTGGGGATGATAAGGCTGTGCTGGAGCAAACTACCCGCTGGCTTGGGAAAGGGAAAATGGAGGCTCATGGCTTCCCACCCCGTTCCCCTTCTCCTCTCCCCACTGCCTGACTTCTGATTTTTGTGTTTTGTGTCTAACAAGCCTAAAAATAAACATAACTCCAAGGGAACAAGGTCCTTGGCAGTAGAATGCTGGGTGGTAGCAGTGTGTAGTAGAGAAGCAGTAATGGATCAGAAGTTGTTGACTCCCAACCAGTAAGAAAAAGAATGAAGGAAATGCTTGGGAAATGAATGGAAAAATAATTTCCATAGGGTTTGATATTTGATTTCCATTAAAGACTGCTTGCTCTCCTGCCCCCCCCTTTTTTAATTTTTTTTCCCCTCCTTTGTTAAGCAAGGTTCTATTTCTTTTGACTTTTCAGCATCTTGGTTCAAAACAGATGATAAAGAAGAATCCTATAAAACTCCTGGTCCTTAATCCCCTTAAATTCCTATCAATGCTTTGCTAGAATTCATATCAACAGAATTTTATTAATGCAAATAATTGCTAAAGCATGACCACATTTTTAAAATTATACTTCTGCTACAAGTGGCAATTAAAAAAAAAAATCCTGGAAGATTAGATGTGTTTTTTAAAAATTACTTGTTTACTACTAATAATTTTGTTTAACATGGTTTTTGGCAGTACTCTGTATATATTTAGTCTTCCTGCTTCCTAGTTTAACATTCATTATTTACTTTCATGCGTTTCACAAAGCATTTGAGAGAGAACTCTTCTTAAATCGCAGAAATCAGAAAGTGGATGTGTAGAGTTTGATTTTGATGATACTCTTGGAAAGATTGGCCATTTATGGTCTTTTTTTTTTTTTTTAATTTAGGGCTGAGATAAGCTTTCCTGTATGGCCCCTGTTTTCAGACCTTTTCCCCATGCCGTATATTTCACAAAGAAACCATTCTTTCAAATCGTGCCACAGCATGTAATTTCTCTGAAAAGCTTGGGCAAAAGCCATCATCACCACTAACAAAAATAAAAATGGCTTTGCAGCTCACTGAGACAATGAAAAAAAGATCATTCTCTTCCTTTTTTCCCATCGTGGCTTGCTCACCCAATACAGCGTGTTTGGCTTTGGCCAAGAAACATGTACATCTCCTTAAGCGTGAGGGGCAACAGGAAAGGAGAGAGGGGGTTACCCAGTAGTCCCTCCCCTCCATAAATCGCAGTTAGAAAAAAAAGTGCTTTTTATTCTTTCTTATCTGGTGTATTCGCTCCATATGCTGTGTCAGGCAAGTCCATTTCTACAATTTTCACCTTGGAGAGGGGGCAGCAGGCAGCTTTCCCAAACGAAGGAGAAGCAGTAATGAGCGGTGCTGCAGAACCACGAGGTGCTCTGAACTGGCCTCGACTCGCTGCGGGATGGGGGCTGCCACGCTGACTCGTTTTCCTTGTGAATCTTTTGTTTGTGTTTGATGTGGTTTGAAACAAGGTCTCGGACATGGAGAGGGTGATGGAGGGTCTCCAGGAACACGCGGCAGCAGTGTTCGAACCACATCCCGTGCGGTCAAGTTCTGCTGCTTCTGCTCATGTCTCCAGACAGCAGAGCTACGATCATGTCTGGAAGGAGGTCTAGGCCTGCACTGAGCTCCACCAGGTAATTAGAAGAAATAATTACGGAGGAGAGGAGAGGGATGTCTTGGTGGCTGGAGGCCGTCCAGCAGCTGAGGACTTGTGGACCTGACGGCAGATGCCTGCTTCGTGCAGGGGCAGGTGGGACAGCCAGTTCCTCCTCTCGCGGGGGAAGTGGCACTTGTGGGCATGGCCTCGTGGAGGTTCAGAAGCTGTGAGAGAGCTTCAAGTTTTGAGAGAGGAAAAAACCCCACAAATGGCCTAACTGGCAGGGTAGCGAATGAGAAGTAGGACCTACCTCTCTGATATCTGGGGAATTCGTAGAAACTGTGGCATGCCTTACGTGGCAAGCTCTGTGACTAACCCTCTGAATTTGATGGTGTCCCTTTGATGAAGATGGACTTTGATTACCTGTTTCTTTATTGTCCTCTGACTCAGAAGTCATTCACAGCTGTTGCTTGGAAGAATATAAAAGCTTTGTGCACAGAACTGTGACATCTCGGCAGTTCCTGTATCTGCAGCCCAGTGCTTTGTTTGGCTCGCTGCACCCATGCCCCCCTGCCCGCACCACTGGGCCCTGGTGGCAGGTTAAGAAAGGACTGAAAAATCTCCTTCCTCCACTGTGGTTTTTTAAAGAGGAAAGGTCTCAGCTACTGGGGCTGGATGCAGCCCCAATGTCAACGAGAAGGTCTTGCACCCCTGCACTTGGCCAGGACCAAGAAGGGCAGCGAGTAATACAGGAGAGGGGAGAAGGAACAGAGGGAGAGAGACAGTATTTAGTCTCTCCCCATTCTTTTCCTGCTGATTAATCTGCCCCAAGTCTGATACCAACTCCGTGTTCAAAAATAAATCTGCATTTTTCTGTCAGGAAAAGCTCCCACATGTAAAAACATATGGTTCTTCCTACCTTAGGCTGACCCTGACCAGGAAATATTTGATGACTTAATGAAAACTTCAGGGAAAAAAAAACACATTGGGTTGATGCATGCAAGCTACATAATGATTAATTTAAAAAAAAAAAAAAAGATAACAAAATTGCATTGTACATTCTGTCAAGTGCACTGAGTCCACGACTGGATTGGGAAAGACTACCTATTTGGGGGCAATGCAAGGGATGTGACTGACCTCAATTTTGAAACAGTCTAGTCATGATGGGTATTGAAAAACTAGAATTAGATCCTCCACAAAAAAAAAAAAGAGCACTGTCCAGGTCTCAGTGTTTTTAAAATAAAAATTCAGCTGCTACCCAAAATATGACATCATTTTTTTCCTCATTTCACTCGCATTTTTGAGACAGCATTGTCTGTATCTTTTTAAAGTGGAAATTTTAAGTGGAAATGCTTCATCCCAGTCTTAGTACATATACTTATTGTGATATTTAATAGAGTTGTACAATTAATGTTATTGACTCAGGAAAATATATTTTGATCCTATTTGACCTCACATTATTTTAAGTAATAGAGATAGAAGGACCTAGTTTTTCTAAAATTTAAGGAATTAGACCTTTGGAGTCAACAAGGGCAGAATGAGTGAGGATGATCATGCTTAGTAAGGATAGAGAAATCAGTTAACAGATAATCTATCATTGCAAGGACTATGTAAAGAATTCATTGTTTGACAGTTTGACATCAAGATTTGTTTGGCTTGAAGGAATTTTTGGAGAAAATACACTCATGTCAACTTGCAAGTTTGTAGAACAGCCAACGTAGCCCTGATTTATCTGTGTCACTTCTATGAGTAGCTTTGTTAGGATGTCTGATGTTGAGCAGGACAAATTTGACAAGCACCAGTCTGTGAAGATACATTAACAGGATTTTCTTTAATCAGAAAAAACCCAATGTGAAAATCAATGCTATAAAACCCTTAACACACTGAAGAGAATTCCACCTTATGCCATCCAGGTTCAAATGAAGTGGTAAAATAAATCGGGATAGGGAAGTGGTTTAAGAGGACAAATTGTTCTTACATACTTGATTGTCTGAGGAAATTAATTGGATAGCACCTAGTAAACCACTGTCCAAAACATTCCACAATTAATAAATACTGTGTGACTCATAGTGATCTTCTCATTTATGCTGGTACTAATGCCAGTTTAATTTCACTGATGTCGGTGGAGTAACTCCTGATGCATGCGAGAAGACATTGATGGAGTTGATAACAAGGCAGGTGTAGCTGTTTTCTTGCTCGCTGCCCTTCTGCTACTCTTTGTACTATATTCTCGAGTGCTGCAAAGAAGTGAGGGGAAAAAAAAGTATTTAATTTAATTTTACAGAATGTTAGCTAGAGCATTTAATATATGCTTGTGTTGGGGGTGTTGTGTATACATCACAGTAAAACTTTTCTACAGAATAGTCTGATGTTACTTCTTTGTTGCCACACTATGATTTTGCCCCATGCTCAGCCTATGATCTGCTGGGACCCAGAAATTAGTTGTTCTTTTACGGCAGGAGGAAAAAGGATGGACTAGGAAGTCAGACATGTCAGTAGCCATAGCTGGGTTGAGGTTTTGATGAAACAGATGTTCTGAATTTCTTTGGAAAATTTCCTTGCTACAGTCTTGTCTTTGGAACAGGGGTAGCTCTTTCCTACAGCCCAGGGACTTTATAAGGATAAACCACTGGGGATTGGAAAACAGTCAAATATTGTGGAGTTACACGCCATGATAATTTCACTTCTGGCTGGATTATGAATTTCTTCCAGCATGACACTTCCTTTTCTTTTCCTTTTGTTATGATAAAGCCTATGCATAAAGCTATGAAGTAAGAATCATATGCATACCGACCACACCAATTTTTAACTATGTGTGTTGGAACTAGGAACTAACTACTGAGGATGATAACACAGCTGTGGCTCACAATGGGAAGGACATAGGAAATAAGAGTTCCAGTAAGCCTCCGGCATCCTTCAGAAAGAAGAACAAAAGAGGGTAAAATAATTGTTTATATGTGTATATATATAATCATAGAATCACAGAATAGTTTGGGTTGGAAGGGACCTTTAAAGGTCATCTAGTCCAACCCCCCTGCAGTGAGCAGGGACATCTTCAACTAGATCAGGTTGCTCAGAGCCCCATCCAACCTGACCTGGAATGTTTCCGGGGATGGGGCACCCACGACCTCTCTGGGCAACCTGTGCCAGTGTTTCACCACCCCCATTGTGAAAAATTTCTTCCTTAGATATAGTCTAAATCTGTCCTCTTTCAGTTTAAAACCTCCAACAGGCCCATGTCTTTCCAGTGCTGAGGGCTCCAGAGCTGGACGCAGGACTCCAGGTGGGGTCTCACCAGAGCAGAGTCAAGGGGCAGAATCACCTCCCTTGACCGGCTGGCCACGCTGCTTTTGGTGCAGCCCAGGATATGGTTGGCCTTCTGGGCTGCGAGTGCACATTGCCGGGTCATGTCCAGCTTTTCACCCATCAGTACCCCCAAGTCCTTCTCCTCAGGGCTGCTCTCCATCCCTTCATCCCCCAGCCTGTACTGATACCGGAGGTTGCCCTGACCCATATGTAGGAACCTGCACTTGGCCTTGAGAGGTTCACACAGGTCTGTTCCTCGAGCTTGTCTGTGTATGTATTTAATAAAACCCGAAGGAAGGAAGAAAGGTGATACCAACCTGCTGTTTCTCTGACAGAAGCAGTAGTGCCATCCTTTTCCATTATTCCATACCTCAGGTTTCCATGACAGTCAGTCCGGTAGGCAGCAGCAGCCTTCCCTTAGACAACAGGCATAGGAAAACTGTCTACTTTAGAAAGGTTTAGAAATCTCCTTGAGTAGCAAAAATGTAATTACATTTTTCTTGTCAGGGAAAAGATATAGTTGACAGCTTGCAGCTGCTAGGATTAGAAGAGGACACAGCAACTGCCCACAGGGAGCACATGGTGAGGAGAGGAGCCTACTTGTCCCTTCTCTTCTTACGTCACCTGAGGCTCCGGGAGCTAAAGGTAAAAAACCTCAACATAAAATCTGCAGAGATCAGAGTTAATTTTTTTTTTTTTTAAGAGGGGAGCTGTCATCCAACTGAAAATGCAAGTGTGCATTTGCTCCGGTTTGTTTCAGCGAGTGTGCCTGGGGATCCTTAACTACTTCAGGTCCATGGAGAGGAGCCTGACCATCAGTACCGCCAGCCTCTCCTTCAAGGCTGGTCGCCTAATTCCCAGTGCAGAAGACACCTCCTGGGTCAGCTCTGTCAAAGGAGGCACTGGTGGTTTTGGTGGCTTGAGTCCACAGCCATATATTCACTACACGCCAGCTGACTACAAGGTGAGGTTACCACCCAGCCTTTGGTCTTCCAAGACATGTGCTTCAACAGGAATACCTAATCCAGTGTTCTCTCCCACGCAAGCTATGTTGTGATCAACTGCTGAATCGCCTGAGGGATTCAGTGTAGCTTGTTCCTCAGAACCACGAGCCTCACCTTAGCAGACTAAATACCTGTATCTACCAGCAGTCTGTAGCAAACCTCTGAGAAGCTTCAGGCGCACAGAAGTATAATGCCAATACCGCCTGCCAGATAAACATTTACTTAGACTTACTTACAGCTACTGGCTGTGCTTAAACTAGGACCTTTGTAAGTGTGGGATTATCACACCGAGTAGATGTTCCTGAGAAATCTGAGGCATTTTGAATTTATGGAAATGCTTGTTTAAGTAACTCCTAATGACTTCTAAAATGTAGTATTTAGATTTAGGTAGAGTTCAGGACTTACTGTTTTTTAACCTTGGATGAGGGCATGTTGCTGAAGTGATATAATTTGTACACTTAGCTTCACAGAATGGAAAAATAATAATTTGAATTAAATTCCCAAGGTTTATCAAACTTTGGGTTCCCCAACATTTTTTTGTAAAACTTACTGAACAGAATCATTATATCATGCTGCCATTAGTGGTTTGATGTGATACAGTATTTTGACTTTTGAGCTGTATTATTTCCTTGCAACTCTGCTACCTAACACTCATCCCAAAGTTCTCACGTAGAAAGCCTGAAGAAGCACTATAGTATTTTAATAGGAGTTTTTTCAACATTGTGAGTTCACATTTTTTTCTCATTTACTGGAAATTTGTTTGCTTGTTTTTGGTGTTGTTTTGTTTGTTTGTTTGTTTTCTGTTGAAACACATAGAACCAAAGACACAAGGTACATCATGGAAGACTTGTGGCTAGAACCAAAAAGGAAGTAGACTTCCTGCCCCCATTTTTTGCTTATGTTAAGACTTCAAACTCCACACCCCCAAGAAAAAAAAATACAAACAGGAAAAAACTTTGTGTCCCTAAACACGAAAACATCTAAATGTCTTTGAAAATAAATAAAATGTGTGGGGAGGACATGGAGTTGATGATATTTTTTAAGGTATCTTTAGTTTCCTTTCTAATATGGCCTCATTTATCCTTTAAAAACCTAATCAATTAAAATTCCTGAGTGAAAAGCTACTTGCAACTAACAAATTGTGATTTTCCACTAAAGAAATGTTGAACTGGGTGGTCCAGCATCTTCGAATTTTCAAGTCAGAAAAAGTAATTTAAAAATTTATGCTTTCCAATGGGAGGTGTTGCTTTTCTGGGAAGGAGGCATTGCAACAAATTCTCTTTCTGAACTCTGCATAATATACCTTTATTTTCGTTTCCCTTTTCTCTGTTGCAGAAGAAATGATGCAAAGACCAGTTCTGACCTCCCATCTAAGCACTCTCTAATCTGGAGATTAGCTGTGAAATACTTCAGTGAGTCCCTAGCAATGAAAGAGACATTATTTCACAGTGGTCTCTCTTTCCCCTGGACTAATACATGGATATGGATATGTACGCTTGAACTTCAACTAAAGCCTAGATAAATATTTACTAATCCTATTGCAGTTTAATTGGCAACAAATTTAGAAGCAGGGGCAACAGCATTTCCTTAACAACAGTTTCTAATGTTGGTTTGTTTTTTTTTTTTTAAAATACTGCACAGGCTGTCTCTCAAGAATTGAAAGAGTAATGGAGTCATTTTACTGGCAAACTAATTGAGATCTGTCTAAACACACTCTCTGATGCATGCTATAAACCCAAAGCGTATGGCATTGTTTTAAAAATACCTCTAGCATCTAATCTATGCCCAAAATTGGAGGCGTACCTGTGTTCTGAATCCCTCCACACTGTAAGCTGTGAGCCCGTGTGATGGCTCAGCACACAATGGATCCGAAACTGAGATTCTGAGGCAGTGTTGCACCCTCCCTAGCAGACTCCTTGGGACGGAGATCATCAGAGGAGTGAGTTCCAATGACAGAAGGCCCTGCAAAATATTACATTAAAACTCTTTTCAGTCCCCTGTTGAGATTCAGCTTGGAAGAAAGTAGATAAAATATACGTAGGTGCATAAGTGTTGCTTTATAACCCAAAAGGGATTTGTTAAGCCCCAGTAAACCTGAGCAGAGCTAGAGGAGAAAAGCCAAAACCTGCAGGCAAAAATCACTGCACATAAATATCCAGTTACTTGATTTGTTGCTCTAGACATATAAACGGGTATTAACGTTTTTTATAGGCATAAGTAGCATTTAGAAGGCTTGAGCAGTCTCGTTAAAATATGGCTCCCAGAAGAAACACGAAAGGGAGAAAGTCTTTCTTTCTTTTTGGTTCTGTTTTGTAAGAACTCTCCAGTTTTATAGTCACATGCCCCTTCTGCAGAATGCAGTACTCTTGACTGAGATTTTTAGGAGTGGGACAGAGCAGGAATCACCAGAAAAAAATATAAGAGCTTGAAAGTGGAGATACCTTGATGAATGTTCTCCATAAGGATGTTTAAAAACACAGCTAAAAACCCCTTCTACCTGCTACAGTGAAGTCAGCCCAGTATTTGCTCAGTTATTTACCTAAATCAAGTTGAATTTAATTCTCCTGTAAAGGGCTTTGATTTAACCTTTAGCAAATCCTGCACCCCGTCACTAACAATGGTGAAACAACATTCTGTTCAGAAGAATATGGAAAGAACAGAGAGTGCAGAACACCGTATTGAAAAAAGGAAAGGAATCTCACCAGACTGATCCAACATTACGTTCAAATGAGGTGTACATTTTGCAGGGCTGCCTCATCAACTTTATGGTGAAGAATGAATTCGGATCCAGCATAGATCTGTGAATCTGGCAAGCTGTTCTTCCCAGTAGGTTTAAATTTGACTAAGATTTCCATGACTAAATTGAATACCTATTCCTTTCATCCATCCTTTCTTTTAATAGAATTTGAGACATCCAGGTGCTACCAGGTAAAGTTTGGGTAGCACTGGGGATCTTGTAAAGGCAGATGTTAGGACATGCAGTGAAAGGAAGAAGTCCCAATACATTGTGCATCATTATTTGCCACTGAAGTGAGAACAAAGGTGCAATACATACCAGGAAATAGTAAAAACAAACAGTGGAAAATTTGCGGAGCTTGTATTTGCTTGCTAGCTTCTTACAAGAAGAACCATTTTTAAAGGCTTCTATAGCTATACCTCTATACTAAGTGTTTATTTACAAGGGATGATTAATTTCTGTAATTATACATCTAGAGATAGATGTACATAATTCCCTTTGTGGCACTCCTCGTCAAGAAACAGAATATTTTGAAAGCTACCACTACTTCTGCTGACTGCAGTACTTGGATTCTTGCCTGGGGTGTTACCAAGCTAACTAGTGACTCATTGCCAGGGTAGATGATTCTCTTTAAAGATGCTGATGGATTTTTTTAGAAAAGTAAGGTCATTGTTAAACTATTCTAATGAACAAGTGGTGATGTTACAGCAATTTGGGACATCAGTCTGTGGGCATTCCTTTTAATTAATGCTAAAGTCTTTGTGTGTGTGCGCTTATCTCCAAATCTTGCAAGTGTAACTTGCCCAAGGCGGCTTTAAAAAATACGTTGATTTCGTATTTGAATATCAGAATTTAAGACAATTTTTCCCAAATTTGAGCTAAATTAGAGAAAAGGGAAAAAGCTCTACCTTGGTTCAAGAGCTAATCTTCTCATTTTGATGCCTTCTTGGTGTTTTTTGTGGATTTATATGCCTGAAGGAAAAACTAGGCACAATAGAAATTTTGTATAGTTTGCCTTACTCCACGATAGTATAAAAGAAGCCACAGTGTAGGTGTTGCCCATAAAAAATAATATGTTGGCAACATTTTATTTTATTGTTCTTTGTTAGTGACAAAATACCATGCGTCTAGGCCAGGTCCAGCCTTAGATATGTTGGTTATAGAGAATTGCAGTCCTCGCAGAGCTGACTGCTTGTAACTCTGCGTCTCTTTTTCGCGGCATAGGTCCACAGCGCTCAGTTCATGGAGTTTGCAGAGGTGGAAAACCATGACAACTTTCACACTAGTGAAGATGGATATATCCACACACAGGACCAGCGAGGGGTTTACATAATATATGATGTGGCTTTAGAGGACCTGAAGGAACTTGAGAAAGAACTGCTGCTTGTGGCCAGCCAGTACATTGAGAAAGATAAAAGTAAGACATCGACAGGTCCAAAAAGACCTGTGATAATTTGGTTTGCTGTTTTCAAGGTAGGCCAGTCCTATGAAACGCTGCTGTCCTTCTGCAAGACCAAGTGCTGACTGGATTTTTGGGACCTTTCTTGATCCTCCTAGTTAGCTAAGTGATGAATGTGTTACAAAGATGTAACTGAGCATGTGGAATTGCTTGTCACATGTTGTTAATGTCACGGTTTTGCACTTATTCGGGATCATAGACATCAAAGTCATCCTGGAGGGGAAAATAACGCAGAAGGGACATTTACTGATGTTGTTAAGGAATATAATGAGCAAGCACATCTTCAAGGCACAGAGAGAGAGAGAGAGAGTCAGAAAAGAAAAATGTTAATTGTTTCTGAATGTCTTTTAACTAATGTATTGGACTGCTTTTCTGCAGAACTAAATTTACCTCCCACCACTTTTAAACTTTTCTCTGGTTGTAAGTAAGAAACTGCAAAATATTTTATGTTCTAAACTTCCTTTTCTCCTGCTGTTTTTTTCTTAATAGTAAAAACTGGGTTGAGACAGACTGTATTACAGATTTCTAAAAAGAACAGCTGTACTTCTAGAATAGTGAGGACAAAGAAGCTTGTAATTGTAAAAAGTATGAGGGGAAGGCCATTAGAAAACAGTGAATAAATGTCAGAAACACGTATGATATTCAGAGAATTGCAAAAAATATCTCTTAAATCACTGGAATTACTTTCTGTATTGATAGGATAATGCTTTTGACGTTTTAGTATGCTTCCCTAAAACTGAATGTTCTGACATAGAACACAGGACAGGGCTGGGGATTAAGATGACCAAAAACCTTTCCAAACCTGTGAATGCCTAAATGCCTGCTAGGACCTCCTTTGAAGTCTCTTGAAGGTCCTCACTGCGGACCTTTTTCTGGACCACCTTTCATATCAGGAGAGGCTGAGAGAGCTGGGACTGTTCTGCCTGGAGGAGGCTCAGGAGGGACCTAAGCAGCGTGTATAAACACCTGGTGGGAGGGAATGAAGAAGAGGGAGCCAGACTCTTCGCAGCGGTCCCCACTGACAGAACACTGGGCACAAATTGAAACACATGAAATTCCATCTGAACACAAGAAACACTTTTTTTTTTTTTTTCCACTATGAAGGTGATCAAACACTGGCATAGGTTGCCAAGAAGTCTGCAGAGATATTCAAAATCTGACCTGGACACAGTCCTGGGCAATCCACCCTATGTGACCCTGTTTGGGAGCAGGGAGTTTGGCTAGATGACCTCCAGAGATCCCATCCAACCTCAACCATTCTGTGATTCTGTCATTACAGGAGGCAGATGACAGAATGAGTCTGGATTAGCAGTTCTTGTGTTTAGAGGTCATTTCATTATACCCTCACAAAGTACACTTGAGGACTGATCATGTACAACCTGTCCTAGCTCCTTATGTTCCTTCTTGTTATGGTCTCTTTCTGTGTGCCATGGACCCAAACATTTTAATGCTGACTTCTTCAGTGATCATGGACTTCAAATGACTCTCTTGTTCAGCTTTTGAAAAATAAGACACTTAAAGTCTGGAGCTGAAGACTAGCTGCTGAAGCCTCTTCTATTTACCCCATGGCTGATTTTTAACTCTGCAGCTCTGAACATTTCAGATTCACACTACTTGATTCATCATTTGTTGTCAAAATTAGCTCTAATTTAGAAATTGTCATAATCAAGAAACCAAAACCATGATTTCTTTAAGGATTTCTCATGGGCTGCTACTGTAGAAACATTTTTTTCCTTCCTTCACAGTCATTTTTAAATTATGAAGACTGATTTTTCTAATAGCAAGCCATCTGAAAAGAAAGCCCTCCCCTGGGTCAGCACTCTGGCCTGCTATATCTCTTTGTAAAATTTATCTTTGAGTAGTCCATGCTGCTTTTCTTTGATCTGAGAGTGAAGGTGAGGAGGTGAATCAATCCCAACATGATTTGGTACTGTGAAAAATTAAGCTTCTCTTCACTTTCCTCCCCTAGTTTTCTTGTGCTTTCTCTGGCTTTACCTCTTGATGTGGGTCTTTTGAACTCCAACCTCTCAAGAAATATTTGTTAAAAGATGATGGAAGAGATATGTTTAAACCAAATGCCTGGAACGTTTGTTCTTTGCCTTGCAGAATACTCTGGGGCCCTCCAAAACTTATGGGACTTGAAATATTTTCCTGGCCTGGGGTTTCCTGGCAAGCAAAAACCACAACCGCATGCTATAAATAAAAAGAGTTACCACAAGCCCTGGGACTCTAGGCATGTGGAAATCCCTCTGATACTGGCATCTGCTTGTTTTGTCCTTGATTTTTTTGTCTTAGGCAATGTAACCTATGAACAATTCAGAGGCAGCAACATCCTTGGGTGGGTACCTGCCTGTGTGGATCAATATGCTGTGCTGCTTGACCTCTGGACCTGTGAAACTGCTCTCCTGGAAAAAAAATGCCAGGTACCGAAGCTTTTCTTGGTTTGAAAGCAGTGATTTGCAATCTGTCCACTTCAGGTTGCGTAAGTTCCCTTTCAACAACATTTCCCGTTGTGTATACACATGGATGCCAGAGCCAGCAACCGTGGGTGGTGGTAATGGGTTTCAGATGCTTTGGGAGCCTGGTGCTGGGCTGGGTGCAGAGGGTTGGAGCTGCTGGGTGCTGTGAGTTGGGTCCAAAGGACCTCATGCAATGGCTTTTGCAACAAGGGAGCAGACATGCTCTTCTTGTCAGACAGCGGCCTCCGTAGCTGCTGTGCCAGGGGCTGGAAGCACTTCTGCAAGGCCTTAGGGAGAGTCGCCCACCACCGGAAAGGATGACTGGGAAGGACAAGGCCATCTCCAAAGCAAAACTGCAGAGTTTTTTTTGCCCCTGCTTGCGTGCCAAGGAATGGAGCATATGCAGACTAGGAAGAATCAGGTCCAGCCTGGAGGAGCCTGGGCCACCAGGATGTCCACGATGCAAATTTTGTCTGTGGTCCTGGCTGTCCCTGCTTTTGTAGCTTTGTGATTCACAAGAGCTGCTGCATATCTTGTAGGCTTTCCCCTTCCTTTCTCTGAATCTAGTCATGTGTTTCTGTTTTGCCACGGGACATGAAAGCATACAGGGTTTCTGCCCAAAGGCTTCAGTCTTGGAAGGTGAAGATTAGACAAGTTCAGAGGAAGGGACCCAGAGGAGCTTGGAAGCTTATTTCTATCTACGGGTCTCTCCAGCCCCGAGGACAATGCTCTAAGTGTCAGCAGGAGGAAAGGAGCAGACAGTCCACTTCAGAAGCAGGGAGAAACAGCGCTATCTGAGGTCGCCTTCACGCACTTGAAATGTTTTGTTCTCAGTCCTGGAGCAACACAGGGCAACTCTCAGAATAGGAATGCTAGAGGGTGTTAGGAAATCTCCCGAGTACCATTGAAGAGGCTTTAAATAGAAAACCTTTTAAAATGAAATAGTTGTATGTAGTTTAGGAAATCTCCTAAGGCCACTCTTCCGTTTTCATAGAGGGGCTTTGTGTTACAGAGCTATATAAAATACTGTCTAATTGCCTAGTTCACTAAGTTTCTGCTCTCATCTCAATAGACTTCACTTTCCATTACTGTATGATCATACTACCTCTGTGAATCTACCTTTTATTTTTATCATGGGCCTTCCATATACTTTCTTTTTGGAAGAAAAACTCACACTGGAGAAGAATGAAACCTCTACAGCATCAATATACCAATTCTCTTCCAAAACCATCAAAGAGTATGTTCTGGAACTGCTCTCACAACCCAGTTCTCTAGGCAGGATTAAATGTACAGATGTGCTGTTGCTAGAGGTCTTTTGATTTTAGCTGAAATGAAATGGAAACGGGTCTTGCTAGCTTTGTTTCCAGCTGGGACAGAGTTCTTTCTGAATGAGGAAACAATAACACTTTGTCCAGCAGCTGAGACAGCTTAGCTTAGCCAATATCAAACTTGCTAATGACCTATTGCTCAAGCACTGCCTTAGTTTCCTCCAAAACAGTTCAGGTCAGGCAGGTCTAAATCAGAGAACTTGACTGTTGAAATCTGAATTCTCAGCTACCGAGTTACCTCCTAAGCCCTTCTGCATCTTGCTCTTCCACAGTCCTCTGGTCTCAGTATGGAAAGTAACATGGATGCTTTTCTACTTCTGTGTCAATGCAAAATAGCCAGATCTAGATCATTTCATATTGCCATGACTGATTTGTCCAGATGCAAGAGGGCTGGACATTCATATTTTCAATCCCCTAATTGCTATCTGACCAAAAAGTACTACAATGTCATCTCAAGAGTTCACACATGCTGTCATGCTTGGCACATTTCTTTTTCTGTCCTAAGCTGTGGGAATTTGTAATAAAAATTTTTATTTAAATAAAACTTTACAGCTATTCTTGGTCGAGGAGCCTGAAGAGGGCACGCGCCTTTGTACATCTTTAATTACATCTTCCATTAATTTGGAGTTTCTCCAAAAAATGTAAACTGTGACAGTCATTGCCAAATGAGATAATGGAGAGTCTTGGATGAGTCTGCAGGTTTCAGGTTGAGGGAAATGGAGTTTTTCAAACACATGAAACCAGTGTGTGTGCTGGAAAAGAAACAGAGAATGGATTAGTTGTGGAAAGAAGCAGGTGTTTTCAAAGCAGTAAGTACATTGTCTTGTTACTTTTTTAAGGGAAAAATGTGTAGAATAAAAATCTTCGTGCTTCAGTAGAAAAAAGAATCGTTAACTACGCAAGATTTGGAAGAAACTTCTCTTGTGGGCAGTTTATTCTATGCTCGGTTCTTGAGCCTTCTGATGTAGCATCCAGTAATGCCCTGTGCCAGAAACAAGATGCTGTACCAGGTCACTGTTAGTTTGATACAGGCAGCAACCTCCATGTCCATAAATCTCTCCCCAACAAAGAATGAATATTTGGGTGAATAAACATTTCTAAATGTGCTTCTGAATGTGTATCTCTTCAGCTTCTAGATGTTTAATTTGAAGCTTACCAACATGCTTTGGACCCAGAGGAAAGATTTGCTTTGGCCCAAGCGATAACTGACGTCATGCATAAACGTCCACGGTTTGATCTCAAGCTTGAATATTTTGTCAACGCCTATGAAGATGAAGGCATCTGTTTGCAACTTCACCTCCAGCTGCCGAGGGACATGGTAAACCAACAAGTAGGTTGAATTTATGGCATGTCCATCTTGAGCAAGTAGGAGATGAAATCCAGAATGGGAAACTTTGATAATAGCCTGCATGGGTTTACAGTGTTAAGATGGGTCAACACTAATTTAACAATGAAGTTTACGGATGCTTTGTAAATTGAAGGCCTGAAGCTCAAGATCAGAAAGCTATCATTTCATCAATATCAGAAATAAGATGTTGGAGAGATTGCAGAGCTTCATACGACATGTTAAAGCCACATCTGCTATTGTTTGAGACAATTAGAAATAGTAGTTGAGAGGTGTGGAAGCTAAATAAAATTATAATCTAATTTTTTTCCGTAATGCAGTGGATAAGGAACTAGTCCTGTTTAGAGTAAGAGAAAAGAGACTTCAAAAAGAATATAAAGAAAGCTTGTAATTTAAAGTGAACTTTGAAATTTCAGATATCTCTGAATTCCTGTGCTAATAATTAAAGCACCACATTTGAAAACCTCACATTTTTCTTCTGGTGTCAAAACCTGCCTCAGCTTTCCTCTATGTCCGGTCACAAGATATTTCCTTTCTCTGAGCCTCGATTTCAGAGGCTGCAAGTTGGGAAGTTCAATTAGCCAACCTTTGTAACTTGGCTTTTAGTCCACAAATGGAAGTTTGGGTTTTGGTACAAGAGGCTATTGTTGTGCTGCTGTTGCCACTAATGCTACCATATTTCCATATGCAAAAAAAATGGAGCCTTGTCAGCATAGCTGGAGCTCAAATTTTGTTCTGAAGGAATACAAAAGATTAAAAATAATTTTAGCAGGAATAATTCATTTAGAGTGAGTACATATATATAATTGACTTGAAATTTTTTTTATATATATAAAAATACAAATTTCTGCAGCTTATGTTTAAATAAAGAATAGTTGGTTTTGCCTTGATTTCTAGCTATGTGTGAATTTTATTGGCTAATGTTACTTGTGTTACTTGCTGTGTTTTAGATAGATGCCCAGAGGGAATACGTCCGCAAGATTTGGCGGGAAGGTCAGAGAGGTGGCATCGGTGAATTTGGACTTCCTTATGATGTGATTACTAAGCAGCTTATCTCTCTTAACACTAGCTGGTGAGTAATTATAGAGTTTTATTTTTCTGGAGAGTACCTCTTTCTGTTCTAGTTTCTGTGATTGATTGTAAAAAATTGAGATCCAGCACCTGAAAATAAGACTGTTTGAAAAAATGACAGTCATAAAGTGAATCAAGCAGTAGAGGAGTGTCTCATGTTATTTAGTCTCATGCTATTTAGATAGCCAGAAATACATTCAAAGAAGAAAAGTGATTCCTCCCTCACCACTGTTGCACTGCCCTTCCATGGCAATGAATTTGATAATTGCATCTTGCAGTGCACTGGAACATTAATATTCCCATGGGTACAGACTATTAAACAGTAATGATGAAAGTGCGCACCGAGGTTAGCCTCGCTTCAGGCTTCTCTGTGTCAGTCTCCTGACCTGGCTTCACAACCTTCTCTGCCCTTTGGCCACATCCTACTACTCTTTCTAGCACAACTGCCTGGTTGGATGTGTGTGTACCCTGTTTTCACACGTGGAATCCACATTACTACCCGCAGCGCAGACCTGCCACGTGTTCCCCATCCCGCAGCTGTGCAGCGCGGGGGGCTATGCATAAGGGTTTACATGGCAGCCAGTGTGCACCCAGAAGCCAGGAGCCCATTGCCGCTGGGCCCTTCTGGTTTCCTGCCTCTGTCTCAAGCCCCTTGGCCCTATTCCTCCCCTGACACACATTTTGATTTTGTGTTATCTGAGGGCTTATTTTCAAGTGCGGGTAGTTTTAGTGGGCAGGCATAACAGACGTGAAAGTGCAATTAATAAAACATGTCAGCTAACGAAAGAGTTTTAAGCATTTTCTGTTTTCATTAGCAAATGAGACTACTTAGATGTGTTCCAACATAATTACGTTTATTAAGGCTTCAGTTCTATTTTCAGCTTGATGATTGATTTCTGATGTGCACTAAAGCCATTGCAATTTATTCTTGCAAATTAAGCAATTGCAAGGTTTCTTTATATATACAATTTATAAAAGCCTTATTTGAGGACTATTTATTCTTTCTTTGTTTTTGTCGGTTTTAAGTCCTACTTTGAAGAACATTTATTTGCTGGAGTTTCACCCTTCTCTTGGTCTGGTGTGCGTGATCCCCAAAGCTCTTGAGTATATCTACCAGGAATTCTACAACATCTGCAGACCAAAAAGAGCCAGTAAAGCAAGTAATCTAGAAAAACAAGTACTTCAGCTAGTAGTTGATGAGTGGTTAACTATGGAAAAAACAGAAACTTTTTACAGCGCTCAGATTCAAAAGGACGTAAGTTCCATTTTTATGTTAATAATGACTCTTTAAAGCAGAATGCCCAAGAGGATGATCTTGCTGGTTCATTTACACTGGCTGGGTAAAGGTCAAGCTATGTGATTCTTAATTCAATTATTTGCTTATGATTGGTGAAGATCCATTCCATCCACCTATAAAACAAGATTGTTTTCTGTAAATGAACACAGAAAGGTAGAACTCTTGATCTCATGCCAGTATGAAGTAGGACCAATCCGTGCAATGAGAAGGAAAATGCACACATTCAAACTGATGTGAGATCACGGTAAGACTCCAGGTTTTACATTTGTGTGTGTGTACAGTCTGCCAAAAAAAACTCAAAAAAACCCTGGACATTAAAGCAAATATTGTTACAGGTGGAGCCGGTTATTACTGTAATGTCCACCATTTCCTGGTGTAAGACTCTGAATTTGATTGGTTATAATTTTGATAAATGATAATTATTGTGAATGAAATTACTGATGCTGGATTTCTCTATCAAGTTGATTTTCTTTTTAATTAGTCAGCTTAGTTGTTGCTGAGAGCAAGAAATGGAAAAGAAATTATTTTATTTGTTTGCTTGACAAGATTGTGATACAGCTATGCTTTGGAGCATACATTTCAAGTTTGGGAAGACTCATTAGACAGTGATATGCTATGCTTTCATTCCTGCCAGGTTTGGCCAGCATAAACTGAACTAAAATACAATATTGCAACATGTTCAGTAGGAGGACATTATCTGAAGTTTCTGTGTGCCGTGCTGTATCTATAACCTGAGGCAAACCAGGACTTCCCACTCTTCCTACGATAATAGCTCCGGATCTAAGAGATCCGTGTTTGATTTGGGTCTGAGCATTGGAAGGGAGTACGGGGAGCTGCTAGCCTGCACTGTCACTGGTGTTGCCTTCACTGGAGGCAGTGGAGGAAGCTGACTGAGCAGATCGCAGGGGAGACGCAGCAGCTCTGTTAGTGGAGCAGGAGCTGGGCAGAAGCACAGAGAAAATACAGCTAGCTCGGTAAGTGGGATGGCAGCCGGTAAATGGGAGTGAAGACTGAGGTGGATGAAAAGCTGGGAGACAAACACTAGGACTGAGATCCAGTGGGTTCCTTCATTTCAGAAGGAAAAGGTATGGGGGGGAAAGTGCATTGCAAATAGGGGCTGGGGCAAGGAGGCACCTCGGGTCGGGGTGCCTGGGTTGAGAATGGTTTGGTAAAGAGCTTGGCTCAAGCTGCCCAAAACCAGTGATAGCAGGACTTGCTAATCAAGGGAGTGGGGATGAAAATGAAAAGTTTGAGGCATAGAGACAGAACGGGCTAGATGAAGAGACTGTGAAGACAGTGATGGGTAAGGAAGTATAGAGGCAACCTAAAGGCAGAATGGCACAGCCACCTAGGATAATCCCCTCCCTGGCCGGGAGCAAAACCCAAGAATTACTTATCCAGCATCCCTCTGCTGCCAATTAAATCCACTGGCAGTGTCCCACTACTCTCTTGTCCACAGCAGATCATAAATGATTCTTTGCTTTTTAAATTTTAAATCCTAGAAATCAGGGGCAGAATTCTGTGATGGATCTTAAAGTTACCACACTGCTGTTGCCCCAGGGGAAAGGGAGGGAGTTTGTCATGTTTACTTCCTGCACATTCGTTTTCCTCCAACAGAAGCTGCAGATGAGACAAGTGCACGCAAGCAGGCAATGTTTAGAAGACAATCAGGTTGTAAAAGTCTAGCATTTGAATTTTAGGAAATTTACCTTTGCCAGAGCAGATTTAATTTGGTTTCCTTTTGCATAGGCACGATGACGCAGTCTTTACATGATCACATACTGCTTTTTTTTCTGACTTGGTGTGCTAAAATCAAGATTTCTGTCCTTCCCAAACTGCTCCTTTTGTGACCCTGGACCTCATTCTTTAATGTTTTTCCAATCCCTCGCTAAGGATGGTTTTACAAGATCCAATTTTTATTCCCCATCTGGCTTCCTAAGCACCTTTCAACTTCAACTTCAAACTTTCAACTAGAAATATCAGAGAGGCTGTATAAAAAGTAAAGTGAATTCTGGAATTACAAGTCTAAATGATCCCTGGGAAGCTGCGAGATCTGTCTTGCTCACCTCAAGCCAGGATCAGCTATACTTATGTTATTCTCATGAGATAAATAGCTGATAGACTTTTTCAAGCAGTCTGTTGTAGTGCTTCACCAGCTTCACCTTTAGCAAGTTTTCCTTAAAGTTTAGCACAGATATGCCTTGCTACAGTCTAAGCTTATTACCTCTTCTCCTGTCCTCTTTGGAAATAGGGAAGATGCTGTTCTCCTTGTAGTAGCTCTTTGAAGAAGTACATAAAGATGGGTTGTCCTGTCCCACCCATCCAGAGTCATAGAATTACAAAAGCGTGTTGTAAAGCATTGGGGAAGAGGGACAACAGTTGCACAACTTCTGACACTTAACTTCTTTGGGGTGTTGTCTTTTCAAACTTCTTTTTCAGTGTAGCTGTGAAGGTGTAGCAAATGGCAAGTGTGGAAATCTTGACTTTTATTACTAATAACTGCGTGGCCGGGTCCATATTTCCTCATGATGTGTGCTTCGTTGGTCATAAGCAGTGAAGTGTGAAGCCACTCAGCTGTAGCAGTGGCCACATCTATCCCATCTGACATGAGCAGGGTGGCACAAGCTGTACAAGTGACAGCCAGAGACAAGGAACATCTTCTGCACACAAAGCCAGGAGCTGCTCCTGCCACCACTTCCACAGCAAAACAGCCAACGGACCATGGGTTTCTTTCCAGCTCTCCACATTACCAAGCTGCAGCTTTTGATCATTTTTCTTTCCTGGGATTTCTGCTCTTTTGGAGGCTTCCACTGTCCCAGTAGAAAAGGGGTCCAGCTCTGCTGAGTTAGCTGACCATATGAGTTTGCTGTCCCCATTTTGGGAGCATCATATGTACAGTGGCATGTAAGCTGGGATCTGCACACTAGAGGAGGAATGGCTTCAACTACTAAGAAGTGAACCAAGTTACAGAGCCCCTGCTTTAGATAGGTATATATATCTAAAAGCCTTCTGAATTTTGATTATAATAAAACTGGCAAGTATCTTGTGTTAGATATGAAAAAAATAAATAAAATAAACTTTGTTAAGGCCTTTGAGTAAAGCCAGGTTTAGATATTCAGTACCTTTACCTTTGAGGCAAGTGACAAAACACCAGTGTATTTTTAGGGGTCATGATAGGTCAGGATGGGCACAATTCTGACCTTGCACAGGTTACAAGTCAGAATCAACTCCAGTCGTGATTTACTCCAAAAAAGAAAAAGGAGAACGGTCCCCTAAAGTATTTAAAGACCCTTGTCATCTGTATGTAAATGATTTCTGGGTTTCCTTCTTTTTTTTTCCTCTCTCTTCCCCTTTTTTTTGCAGTTATTTGCCGAGGTACTGATAGAAGATCTTATGCTGGTGCAAGAGATTGCTCTGTCACTATTAGAGATGGGAGCAGATGAGGAAATAAAGACAGGCAGAGAAAAACAGCTCTTTGTCCTGGATTCCTTCTCCACGCTCCTGGAGCTTGTCACGCTCCGCCATCGGCTGATAGAGGTGGCGACAGAGAGTGCGCGGTTAGCCAGGTTAGTGGGTCAGTGGTGCTGCTAAAACAGCTATGGTGACCTGAGAAAGGTGTGGTGAGAAAGGAAAAAAGTGACCTCTTTTAAACAGGCCCCCCTGCTGTAGTTGGAAAAAACACAGAGAGGGGGGGAATGCCTGCATTTGTGTTGTGAGAGATACGTTTGCTTGTTATGTGGAGATGGAGTCTACCTGGGGTTTCCAGATGTTCATTAGTTTCCAAAGTTGAGGCCACACTGATCCTCAAAGCTTAACGGGAGAGGCCCCTTCTCAGTGAAAACACCAAAATTTTGTCAAAAGGAGGAGGAGCAGGAGGAATTCTCTGATCGAATGGACAGAAAGGTGCTGCCTTCTGCAGAGTTTTACACAGACAATTATTTTAACTGCCTTCTTACAAAGAGTACTGCAATATGAGAAGTACAAGCTTTGTTCACCACCAGGGTTAGGAAAGCATAAAAAATTGTTCTGGCTGTGCCGATCGTTAGAACGATAATGAAATAATCTACACAAGGGAAGTCCGTGTCATGCATTTAGGGATTTATCAGCTGGGGAAGATGACAATTTGTAGAGGAAGACGAAGAAGATAAGGACTGAGCTAATGGGGAAACTACAAAGGATAGTGTTGGACTCCTGGCCTGGAGGCAGGTTATTGGTGAAGTTCCTATTGTTCAGCTCCATATTGCTTGACATTTTTATTAATGATCTCAGTAGAAAACATAAGAGGGTGTTATTAAAATCAGGACATTGTAATGCTGGCAGATAAAACTGATATGGAAAATAAATGGAATATCTTACAGGAAGAACTCACGGTTCTAAGGACTGGAGTAATAGAAAGGAGATAAGCATCAATAACCCAAAGCTTAAGGTTATGCATAATAATAGGAAATTCTCCTGTGAACTTTGAGCTTCTTAGTTGGAAGCACCAGAGGAGAAAGAACTGGCTGTATAGCTGGTCGTTGGATGATTGCAAGCTGCCAATATGTTGCAACTGTTGGGGGGAAAAAATGTGATATCTTTCTGTGAATCAGCAATGAGATTTGTTAACAGTAGAGAGAGGGAGAATTGATGCCGTGTATGTGATTCTGGTGAGGCCTCACCTGGATTATTAAGTATAATTTGGAGATTTGTGTGCAGGCAAGATAAATTCAGATTGGAATGGGAGCAAAGATGATCTAATAGCATGCTGAGGGGAAATAGAGAACACATTTTACAAAAGTAAATGAAATATCTATCCTAGCAAAATGAAGGCTGAGAGAAGATAAGATTGTTCTCTATAAATACACCAGGAAGATAAGCACTGGGAATGGAGAGGAGCTATTTAAGCTAAAGGCCAATTTTGGCAGCAGAACAAATGGATCTAATCACTGTGAATAAACTTAAGCTGGAAATTAAAAGGGGATTTCTAAGAATCAG